TAACATTAATTGTAGTATACATGTACATGAATAACCAAAGATTTATATAAGATAAGCATATGCAACCTAAATCTAAGTTAGTTTTCAGAATATATTACCTATGACTATACCTAACTTGCATAGAAATAAATAATGTTAAGCTCATTTTAATAAAATAAACTTTTATCTGTTTACTGAAATTAGCACAGTTATTTTACAAGAGTTGAAGCCAACTAACCCTCTTGTATTTCATTATTGACAAACTCAGTTATGTGACATGTTAGTGATGTTGAATTTCCCATGATGCACTCTCAGGAGTGCAGGGCCGTGCTTTAATGTGTTCCCTGTCACTACCTTAAACACTTTCTACTCCTTTCTCAATTTTCAGAACAGTAGTACCATACTTGCTGCTGTGGCGTTACAAGACCACCTGTCTCGGAATTTATCCCTAGTAGATCCATTGAGGCAGACACATCTTAATAGACGTGCGCCAAAAGCAAAACCTAAGAAAGTCAACGCAGTTGTAGATAGCAGGCTAAGAAAACCAACTAAGAAGACTGACAAGACAGAAGAAGAGAAAGAGTTTGTATTAGATGCAAAACCACACCAGCTGTCACTAGGTAAGCAGTTAAAAGTACGGTACTTAACTCTTATACTGCCAGCCTCATATACTTTTGCATTGGCTTGACCAGATAAGGGTTAATGAAATATGTACATTATGAGCAGATCTTTCTGTGATGCCACTCACTACGTTACTGATAAGGCCGAATAAAATAAAACATATTTCTAGTAACTACCTTACGTACCCATATTTCAGGGGAAATCAGTAAGTTTAGTTTTGGACCCCTTCCAAAAAAAAAAAATTTGTTACCAAAAACACAGGATATATAATATTTTAAACATTTAATAAATAATGCTTCAAATACATGTGTTAAAAAAAGTTTATTTAGATGAAAACTAACTCTGATATCATTTTTATATTGCCCATATCATAAGATGAAGCTATACAGTTCAATTTTGGTGTGACTAGCATTTATAATTTTTAAGATATGGATTATAAATTGGCTAAAATAAAACAATTGTTAGACATAGAAATAAGTGCAGAAAATGAAGACATTAGCACTGTGGATCATGGAAACTAGCATAATTCTCATCAAGGTCTGTTGCTAATAGTGTAGTAATTGGATATACTGTTTTCATTAAGTAGTATAAATCATATTTTAAATGAACAATTATTTTTCCCCCCAAGATTCTTGCCCTTTTATTCAGCCAAAATAATGCTGAGATATAATGCTGTACTATTTGGGAAATTGTTTAAAATTTATGTTATGTTATTCAATAAGGGACTTTGAGATTAATATAGTACATGTATTATTAAAGGTACAAAATATACAAGTATTAATACATATTCCAGCATTTATTTAATTTTCAGAGTCAGATAATCGCCAGTGTGATAAAAACATAGCAGCCAGTCTAGCTGTATTGATGAGCAATTCTTTTTTGTTATTTAATATCTAGACTCTTGATAGGCAAGGTTGTAATACGCAAATGTGTAGTTAAATTATTTTTTTTTGTTTTAGCAATAACTAAAAAAAAAGTTCAGTTCATTAAGAATAGTAGGATTTAAAAAAAAATAAATGAAATAGGAAACCATTACTACCTACCAGTATTTGTATATCCCAGAAAACACTAATTTGAAAAATGTTAATTGTAAATTTGTGTTTCTCTCATTGTTTTACGGGATGTACAGCTCAGAAACTTGGTATAGTTGAATCACCAGAGCAGCCATTGTCAGATGATCAATGGAAGAAAGCCAAAGAGAAATCTAACCGTAGAGATGATTCTAAGCAGCCATGTGTTATCTGTAAAGAAGATTTTGGATTGGTACAACAGGTATGCTAACCAATTCATTTATAGCTCGTTGTCGAGCGGAGCTTATCATATGAGTGATTGTCTGGTGTTGTCGTTCGTGTCAACTTTTAACTATTTTGACTTCTTCTTGAAAACTACAATTCTTATTGCTTTGATACTTGGTATATATGTACCTTGTGCAGACCTTTCTTAGATTTGTTCATTTTGTGATGATATCTTCAATTCTCTAATTTTAATGAATATTTTTGTCATTTTTGGTAAAAAGTGATATTTTCGACCTCTTGTTGAAAACCTCAAGTGTGATTGCTTTGATATTATATGTATAGGAAGTATAGTGG